CCCATACCTTGGAGGCGATGATAAACAGTGAAGTCTCAGGGTTCAGGCTGGCCAGGGTTTTGGCAATGTGGGTCCCATCGATGTTGGAGACAAACCAGACCCGGGGACCTCCCGCAGAATATGGCTTAAGGGCTTCTGTCACCATAAGGGGTCCCTATGGAGAGATACAGCATCAGAGAGCAAGATTTCTAGTCCCATCCCCGGAGAAACCAGAGACTGAGGTGGGACTGACAGTTCCAACACCTCACCCACCCCAAAGCAGCCCTCTCCTCACCAGGTCAGAGCCTCCAATGCCGATGTTGATGACGTCCGTGATGGCTTTTCCTGTGTATCCCTTCCAGTCGCCACTCCGAACACGCTGGGACAGAGCAGGGAGATGCAATCAGCCAGAACCTCTGCATACAACACTGCTCAAAGTCACCATTACTTCTGCGTCCTTACTTCTCAGTTCCAACTTTCAGGCCTTCACAGGAGCCTCTTGGAACCACAGCAATAGATCCACACCACTCTCACCACCCACTGGACTTATTTCCTCATTAGAAAAATGCGGCCACATCCTCACTTCCCAGTAGGAGTGGTGGACTTTGCAAAACAAGGATGAATTCTCAGCAGAATCTAGTGCCAGAGACCAAGAGGTGAAATGCCAACTATTGCCACAGGTCTTGACCAGAGACAGGAATTTCAGACATGCAGCCAGTCTTTAAGCAGACTTCCAAAGGATTCTTGCTTCCTGGTATTCACACCCCTACACAGTTCCACCTGTGTTGAATGTGACTGATCTGCATGCCTATTAAGATATGCTGAAAAGTAACAGTGCATGCTAGAAGCTTGGTCATGAAAGAATTTGAATCCTCTACCTAGTCCTCTGGGATCACTCACTTTTGGGGAAACCACCTACCAGGCTATGAGGCCAAAACAGTTCTACGTAGTAGCTCATGTGACAAGGAATTGAGAGCCCCTTCAAAGAGCCAGCAGCAGCTTGCCGTCTATACACAGGAATGCCTCAGAAGACAATCTTCCAGAACTCACGAAACTTTCAGAGAGATCAGGCATGCTGGTGCACACCTGTAATCACAGCACCCGATGAGGCTGAGGCAGGAGGATTGCCCCAAGTTCAAGGCCAGCCTGGGCTACATTAGCAAGACCTTGTCTCAAAAAACCAGAACTAAAAACAAATAAATGAACTTTCAGAGAATTGCAGCACTGGTCAGTATCTTCACAACAAACTCAAAAGAAACCCCTAGCCAGCCGTGATGGGCACACCTAAAATCCTAGCGCTCAGGAAGTTGAGGCACAAGGACTGCTGTGAGTTCGAGGCCAGCCTGGGCTACATGGCGGGTTCAAGGCCTCCCTGAACTACATGGCGAGACTTTTGTTTCAAAGAAACTAAAACAAACATACAAAAAGAGATCCCTAAACCAAGACCAACTAGAGAAGTCCCACTCCAACATCTGACCTAGAGAAATCATGTAAGGTAATTAATGTTCACTGCTGTTGTGGTATAATTCTGTATAAACACATTCTTTATTAATTAAATTAAAAATTGTATTTATGTTTTAGTGCTAGAGATGAAACCCACGGTCTTATTCAGGGTGGGTAATCACTGAACCACATCCCCAACCCCACTGGTATAATTTTTGATTTTTTTTTTTTGGAGACAGGGTCTCACCATGTTGTTGAGACTGACCTGTAACTCACTATGTAGACTAGGGTGGTCTTGAACTCACAGCGATCCTCCTACCTCAGCCTCCTGAGTGCTGGGATTACAGGCATGCGCCACCACGCCCAGCTTGATTTCTGATTTTTTTTTTGGTCCACGGGTATAATTTTTAATAAAATGACAACTGAGCCAGATTTCGGTACCAGAAGTAGGGTGTGGTCGTAATAAAGACCTACGCAGGTTGGTAAAGACTGCTGAGTAGAGGCCTGACAAACCTCAAGGAGGCTGCCAGTATGGGTTTGAGGAAAATACTACAGGAAACTGGATGGAAGAGAATCCTTGTAAAAGATGTATTTTTTTAAAATCTAGATGATTAAAATCTAGATGCACACTCTAAGGAGGATGAGCAGAAGGAACACTGCAAGTTCCAGGCCAGCCTGAACTATAGAGACCCTGTCTCAAAAACAAAGCAAAAAACAGATCTGGACAATGCAGCTGGAGATAGGAATACTCAGGCTATGCTGGAGCAAGTGCCTGGATTCTTGATTTTTAGAATGAAATTTGATTGGGCCGGGGATTTAGCTCAGTGGTTCTGTTGCCTGCTTTGCAAGCGCAAGGATCCAAGTTCGATCCCCAGTACCAGGAAAAAAAAAAGAAATGTGACTAGAAAAATGAACTAAATGAAGAACTTCTTTTAAATAGAACATAGCCAAAGTATTGGGTTTGAAAATCCCAGCCCCTTCAGGCAACAATCAATGCTAAAATTAAGAGGGCTCCTTATCAAAGATCAAATGTAGGGCAGTCACATAAGCATAATACAAAGTTGAAGCCAATGGTGTAGCTATAAACCCTTTGTTAGCCCTCAGGAAGAAGAAAGGGAGATACATGGAGGCACTTCTGTTCAAATGCAAGGCTTCTGAGTGACTTATTGTCTCTGTGGGCTCAGAAGTAAAAACAGAAGATTGGGCATGTGGTATAAGATGTAGCTCCGTGCAAAGACCCTGGGTTTAATCCTCATTATTAAAAATAAAAGTGTAGGGGGCCGGGGATTTAGCTCAGTGGTTCTGCTGCCTGCCTTGAAAGCACAAGGTCCTGAATTCGATCTCTGGCACCCACCTCCCCCCAAAATAATAAAAGCCTAGGGAGGACTCAGTTTGAAGAAGTTTGTGTGTGGCTTTTGCCTAGAGGAGTGAAGCCTTGCCCAATAATCTTCCTAGGAGACCCACAAAGTTTTAAAAGTAACGGAATTGTCAGAAACAACACTAACTTGAACAGAATGGGACAAGAGACTGTATAAAAGGAGAAAAGGTCCTTAGACATAGAACACTACACAGCTGTGAACACAGGCTACCTTCCATGTGAGAAAGATTAGTGACAGTGAATGGGGCCAAGAGCCTTTAAGAATTATTCCTAGGTCTTTGAACACTAACCAATTGGCAACATGTCCTGCTGGGCTTCAGAATTCCTATTGATGACTTTTTATGCCTTCTGTTTTCGTCTTCCTCTCCCTCCCTCCCACCCCTCCCCTTCCCTCTCCCTCTTTCTCTGAAAAGTAATTATCTGGATCAGTTACCCTATGCCTATCTTACCATGCTATGCTTCATCTAAGGGGTAGACAACATGTCTCTCAGATCCAAAGGAACCACACTGGAGGTGTACTAAAGCAAATTGAGGAACTACTATCCCTGTACCTAACCTAGATGATAAGGTCTGGCCTTCTAGCTGTACTGTAATGGGTTGGTCTAGGAGAAACAGTCGGTGTCTTACACATGGAAAGATGACGAAACATGGGGAGCCAGAGGCAGACTATGACAGCCACTTCCAAGCTGATTCTTTTTCAAGGTCAAACAGAGCTGACTGTACAACCAACAGGGTGCTACAGGAATAGGCACTACCTTGCACTCTGATGGGTTATTCACTCAACCAGCTGTCTTGACAAGAGGGTACTTAAACTGTTTGTGGAGAGGACACAGAGTGAGGAACTAAAGCCCCCCCAAGGCCAATGCTAACTGCTAGTACGCTATCAAGTCCTCTGATGACTATAACCATGGCCAACATCTTCATACAACCTATGGAACCTGAGCTAGAACCACACACTGCATAAGCCACTGCAAATTCTTGACTCAAAGTAAAGGCAATTGCTGTTTCCAGCTGCTAAGTTTTACAATAATGTCCCACATATAAATAGCAATCTAGGGCACATGCCTCAACAAACCAACAAGACCTATGAACATTTTTTCTTTAAATAAAAAAGTATAAGGTGAAACAAAAGATGTTTATGATAATAAGAAAATCAAATTAAATATCCTTGGAAAATTTTTTTAAAAAGTAAAAGGGGCTGGGGATTTAGCTCAGTGGCACTGTGACTGCCTTGCAAGATCAAGGTCGTGAGTTTGATCCTCAGTACCAAAAACAAAGTAATTACCACTGGAAAATTTCCCATTAATTCAAAGGGGGTTTAACTCAGTGGTTCCGCTGCTTGCCTCACAAGCAGGTCCCAAGTTCGATCCCAGTACCAAAAAAAAAAAATTGCTTGCTTAGCTTCTCAACCCTCAATCTCACTACCAAAAGTTTGTTATAATGAAGCATCCAAAAAAAAAATCCCAGATGGTGGGGGGAGATAAGATATAGGTATCTGTATCTTTTGTTTTTTCCTAGTCCAGGGGATCGAACTCAGGACCTTGTGCTTGTGAGGCAGGTGCGGCACCACTGAGCTAAACCCCCAGCCTGAGGACCCTTTTTATTCTGAGACAGATTCTCACTAAATTGTTAAATTGTCCAGGCAGAGCTTGAATTTAAAATCATGCTGTGGGCCAGGGATTTAGCTCAGTGGTTCTGCTGGCTGCTTTGCAAGCACAAGGTCTCTAGTTCAATCTTTAGTGCCAAAAAAAAAAAAAAAAGCATGCTGCCTCAGTCTCCCAAGGCACTGGGATTACAGGTGTGCACCATATGCAGTTCCATATCATTCATTCATTCATTTTTATTTATTTCTTTTGTACTAGGGATTGAACTCAGGACCTTCTGCTTGCAAGGCAGGTGGCAGTATCACTGAGCTAAATCCCCAGGCCCATTCATTTATTTTTTGGATTTTTTGAGACAGGGTCTCACTATGTAGTTCATGCTGGCCTTTAACTTACTGTGTGGCCCATGCTCATCCCAAATGTGTGGGAAATCCTCTCAAGTGCTGGCATTACAGGTGTGTGCCACCACACCTGGCCTAGTTCTATACCCTTTAAACATTTCTTTTGGAGGGGGCCAGGGATTTAGCTCAGTGGTGCCTCACAAGCACAAGGTTCTGAGTTCAATGCGCAGTACCCCCCCAAAAAATGTGTGTATATAACATCAGAAGGATAATGTGCTGACATAACAAGGTTCAAGGATCAAACATCTCAAACAATGGTGTGAATACCCCACTCCATCATCACACTTAGGAACTAAAGGATGTCTTTCTTAATTGACACATAATAATTACAGGTATTTATGAGGTACAAGTGTGCCATTTCAATACACATATACAATGTGTAATGATTCGATCAGGGTAACAGGTCCATCACTTCAAACATTTATCATTTATTTCTTTGTGATGGGAACATTCAAAATTCTCTCCATCACCTTTTGAAATAGGCAATTTGTTTTGGGTTTTACCACTACAATCAAGGTCACAGTGAACACCTGCTTGGTGTGTGGTGCTGGGAATAGAACCCAAGGCTTTCTGCATGGTAAGGAAGTGATCTACCACTGAGCTGCACCCTGAGCCCCTTGATGAACTTTTGACATCAACAGCCACTGTAGAATTGCTGTTCAGCGGCATGTTTGTTTTTTTTTGGTACCGGGACCAAACTCCAATCCTTGCACTTGCCAGGCAGGCGACAGAATCACTGAGCTAAATCACGGCCCTGCAGAAAATCTGAACTATAAATACTCCATCAGTCTAAATCAGGCATCCAATAACAAGCTCTAAGGAAGGCTATCCTGGAAAGAGCACTTAAGATGGGTAGTGCCACACTGCTCGTGCACACACACACAGAGGCTGGTCAAACAGAGCAGCACCAAGCACCTGAGGCCTGTCAGCTCTGCCTCTCACAGCAGAGAGGTGAACACACCCTTCCTCATGAACCAAACACCCAAAAGAACACTCTGGAATCCAGATTCCCATCAGGATGCCATTCCTTCCCTCTTGTGTGTCTGCTACACCTTGAAGATTCATACCAAAATCACCTCCGACTCCCCAGTATTATTTTCAGGTCTGAAATGGCTCTTGGCCAAAGCAGTCAGACTTTGACCAGTCACACGAGAGAGCTGCAGTTTTCAGCAATGAGCAGTGAAAGATCACAGCTGACCAGATGATCACTCCCAGAGCACGCATCTCTCAGGGACAGGCATACGTGCATTCACCCTTGGACTCCAGGCTGGTTGCTGTCTATCTTGTTATCCTTGCAGAATCACCTCTGGGTTGTTGAGGCAGCAGTGACAGATATGGGAATCCCCAAATACCCACCACACACACAAGGAGAGAGGCATGGTTATGTGCACGGAATCCAACCCAGTGGAATCACTTATCACTCCCCACACACCATGTATGTACTGGGGATTAAACTCAGAGACTTTGCAGTGAGCTATATTCTGAGCCCCCCTCTTTTTTATTTTGAGACAGAGTCTCACTAAATCACCAAGTTGCCAAGCCTGGGCTTGAACTTGTGATTCTCTTGCTTCAGCCTGCCAGAGTGCTAGGATTATAGGTATGCACCACCATATACAACACTCTTACATGTTTCTAAGTGCAAATAAGCTCTAGGAGAGCAAGTGGATGTATGTGTTTCAAACAGAAGACAGACGCCTATATATCATATATGCTAGTACATGGATAGGAACTTGGGGGAAGATTTCCTACAATCTATAAAGGCTGCCTCTGGAGAGCTGGCTGAGAGTGGGGTCCAGAAACTTATGCAACTTTTTTTTTTTTGTTTTGTTTTACATTTGATTCTGGCTAGGAAATAAGGAAAGGTACACAACTGAAGAGATGGGACAGAGCAAGTCTCTTCCCTTCACCACTCCATCTGTCTTAATTTCAGGCCTCTGTCCCTGGCCAGCTTGAACCCAGAGGTATCTAGAGCTCAAAAAAGAGGCTGCCCGAATTGCTGTCAGGGTGGCTCCCTCTGAGCAGAGACTCCAGGGTCACACAGGCTGCCCATACCTGAGGCTGAAGCGAGGGGCTGCATCCTGCTTCTAAAGTAGTGGTGGAGTCATGAATAAGGCCTCCCTGACTCCCAGACACAGGCACACAAGTGGCCAAGGGCAAGTCCAGTCCAGTCACTGCTTACCTGGCAGAAAGACTTCATCTTGTCCAGAACCCTGTTGATTTCTGGCATCACATCCTTGCCATCCACCAGCATGGGTGTATTTGACCGGTTTCGCAGGGCCACATGCAATACTGCCCGATCCTGGGGACAAGGGTCAGAGTGTGAAGAAGCCCTCCCCCCCACACTCAGGGAGCCACACTCCACACTGGGTGCAGCAGGGCCCAAGAGTCAGCTCAGCCCTCTACTCAAGATGGCAGTCCTTAAGTGTCTATTTGTACCATAGTCTCATACCAAGGTCCTACGGTATGATTATGGGGGTAGGAGCCAGCCCAGGACTCCAGAGGAGGCAAAGCACATCCCATGTTCTGGTATGTTACAGATACGAGTAATGGGTGGAACAGGGCCTAAACATGCTCAGCTCAGGTCTCAAAGCCCATCAGTGGTCAGGAAGCAAACAGCCAGAGGAACGAGGAAGAGCACAAGCAAAGGCAGAGTGGTGACAACACAGGGCAGAGATGAGCACTAAATGCCTACAGTGTACCAGGCTCCTTAGGCCTGAGGTAACCTCACCCTCCTGATGAAAGGACATGGCATCTGCTAGCAACTTTTGAAGGGTCCTCAGCCATCTGGATGTGGAGCAAAGGCAGGCAATACAAGCCACCCTCACCAAGTGAGTTGATCGCTACAAGCTTCCCCAAACCAAACCAGACCTGAAGTCTGTGACAGGTGGCAGGCAAAGGGCCTGAATAAACAAGAATGAAATGGCTCCATCCAGCTGAAGCTCATGGAGGACTCTCTGTGTGCAGGGGAGGGATTATCTCAGGATGTCAACACAGTGAGAAGCTCATTCAGATGGAGGGCTGCAGGGCATGCCATCTCCACCCTGCTCAACCTTCTCTACTCCTCCCACATTCCACAGGCAACTGCACCCCTACAGGAAGCCCTCCATGATTGAAGCCTCCCTTACTCTCACCCAGCAGACCAAGATAGGCTTATTTTTGGTTTTGTTTTGAGATAGGGTCTTACTCCATAGTCCAGGCTGGTCTCAAACTCTCTGCAATCCTGCCTCAGCCTCTCAAGTGCTGGGATTACAGGCAAGCACTAACACACCCAGCTTCAAAGCAGGTTGCATTTGAATCCCAGTTCTGCCTCTTACAGAAACCACATCTTGGGTAAGGGACGGGACTTCCAAGCATCAGATTCCTCAAGCAAAACAGGAGGAAAATGATAGCATGAGGAAAGAGAGTGAGTGTTTAATGCTTACTTTACCTCAGACTTTCATAGCAAGTCAGGAACAGGGTCCCCAGTGCCTGGCCTCACCACTGCTTCCTACTGACTTCTGTCACTGAGGAAGTTAAATTGTGACACAAGAGTCTTCTTGATAAATCAAGCAAGTTAAGTTCTCTAAGAAAATGTTGGACAAGCCTTGAGAAATTCTCTCCCTTTAGGCGTAAGATGTGCTCCTCCCTGAGCCAACACTGGGAGTCATTCCAATTTGCTCAACAAAGCCAGTCTGCCAGTCTCGGGGAAGAAAGGCCCTAAGTCCCTTCAACCAGCCCCCAAGAAACAGGCCTCCTGGCCCCTCATTAAGCAAAAGCATTGCCTAAGAGAAAGAAAGAAGACACAGGGTGATGATGACAGTCAGATGAACCTCAAAGGGAAGGAAGAGGCATCCACCAGGGCTGCTCACCTCAGTGTAGTTGATCTTTTCACCACTGAACATGCGCTCCCGGGCAGCCTCCACACCCCTGGACTTGGCCTAGGAAGAGAAGATACTCAGGCCTGGTGTTATCACGTTGATCACAAGTCCCAGACCCCAACACAAGGTAGGGTCATGCTGTCAAAACGCTGGCAGATGGCCAGAAGTTTAGCTCAGTGGTGCTGCCACCTGCTTTGCAAGCACAAGGTCCCAAGTTCGATCCCCCGTACACAAACACACACACAAAAAAGCTGGCAGATAGCTGCAACATGTCTCCACCTCCCACTGTCTGGAGCCAATGTGCTTAAATATTAGGCACTAGGATTTCCGGCAATGCTGCTCAGAACCTGACCAAGGCCAGGCTTTTGGAGCCCTGCTGCAGCATACAGGTGGTTATTGAGATCCACTTGCTCATGGACCTGGGGTTACCAAGAGCTCAGCTCACCCGCTCTACTGAGGGTCACAGGTCAAAGTTCCCCAAACAGAATTATTACCAGTTCCACCAGCATCTTCATGACCTCCTCTGTCACAAGGTTCTTGGAGTAATCCAACAGAATGTGCCCATGGTTGGTCTTAAGAGTCAAGCTGAAGAAAGATGCAGAGGCCGCTGACCACACCCAGTTATCCTCAGCCAGCCCCCCTCACCAGACCAGAGGCAGGAGCTGCTTCCAGAAGAACCATCCTTCCTGTGCCACACCCCAAAAGGGCTCCGGTTGCCCAGCTGCTCTGCAGCAGCTGCACAGTGGAAGCCATGCCACAAAACTGAAACGAAGACAGACCCTGGGCAAGGAATCATAGCCTGGGGAGACAAGGGATGCAACTGCCCTGCAGCACCCGGGGAATGACACCTCCTCCCAGCGTCTCCTTAGGCACCCACCCAGACGTCTGGGCTAGCCAGCTGGGAGCCATAGGCAGTCCTCCCGTCCCCTCCTGTCGCTCCTCTTCTAACACCAGCGGTCAGGGCACGCTGAGACGAATCCCGACCCATGATTTCCTCCCACATTCCTTTCCGTTTCTCCGTGGTTCATCAGCTTCTCGTCTTAGCCAGGAACCAGGTCCAGACATTTCCGCTCTGAACACACCAACTCCCTGCAAACCACCCCCTACCTGCCCACCCTGCCCGCTCGCGGCCCCAAGCCCACTTGTGGCCCGGGGGAGGCGGGCGGGGGCAGCTCTTCCCTGCCTGCTGCTTCGGCGCGGGCCTCTCCTCACCGGGGCGTTAGGAGGCGCTCTCACCTGGCTGGGGCCGTGAGGGGGCGAAGGAGAGAAGGAGGAGTCCCTTCCCCCCATGACTAAGCAGCCCCGAGCCCCAGGCCACCCGGCCCCAGCTCCAAGGTAGCGTCAAGGGCAAAATGTGGCCACGGCCCGAGCCCTGTCTGCGTCCGGGGGTCCCAATTGCGCACCTGAAATGGTTGAAGCGTTCTTTGTCGGCTTCGAACAGACG